GAATAGCGTGTATATGTTATTACATTAGGAGTTGAATGGCCTCGTCGTGTGGGTACAGCGAGAAGGCGATTTCGCTCTCTAATAAAAATAAGCAGAGCATCTGCTGCTCCATTCTTTTATTTTAAAACTCGCATGCGCTGCCCACGAAACTTGAGACTTAACATATGCGCGCGAGGAGCCTAATTGGGAGATGGACAGCCCGAATTGATGGAGTCGTCAACGCGTTTAATGACACCGTTGGAATTTGACACGGCAGTCGCCGAATTCAGATCTGAGGTGATGATTGTTTAAATTTGCAGTAGGATTGGCAAGGCCCAGCGGCAGCTCTTCAACGACATCATTTGCAATTGTAAAAGTTTGGCTCACATCACAAGCTCATAATAGTCATAATATTTATTTAAAAAAAAAAAAAAATTAAGATTATTCATGATTCCCAATTTTTTTTCAATAACTATTTTAATATATTATTTAATCAAGACTTTATGAGTTTTATAGCAAGATTATTACTATAAAAAAAAATTGAAAAATTTGTGAGTTTCTGTTTGAATTGCCCTCTCTTGAAAAGTCATCAACCCAAACATTGAAGTAGGTTCTCCGTAGAATCAATTACTTTTTGTCCAACTTTTTTTGCTTGAAAAAAAACGAATTGAATTGCTGAGAGAAATGACACACCTCCAGCCTTGAATTTTACAGACAGGCGTGTCTGGAAACGTTACTTTTACTCTCGACTGGTGTCAGACGGCGATTTCTGCACGGTTCGCATCAGTGCAGCCAGAGTGCAGATCAAGTCAGATGACTTGCATCTCCCAAAACACATGTGTGGCATTGTTGTGTCTGTTGCTTTCGTTAGTTGGCTGCTCACGCCGATTCCCGGAGACTTAGCCAAATTGAATGGAGCGAAAATCGTGCAATCCGCTCTCGATCATGCAATGTGTATAGGGAATGTACAACTCTATTGTGCGCGGGGGGCAATAAAGCAGGAGCAGCAGGCGGAGAAAATTACCACGGTGTTTGCGCTCGCGAGACGCATAGGTGGTCTCTCTTTCAGTCTGCAAATTACATTTGCACAGTGATAAGTAACAGACGAGATTATTAAAATTAAAAGGCACGCTCTTTATATTGCCCGATGTAATTACACGCGCCGAAAGTGGATTTTTCGCTCTTTTATGGCCCCCCACGCCGAGAGTGGTGCTCGCGAAATTCTTCTTCTCAAATTTGCTGGACAACATTTATCTCCGTCCTTAATTGCCCGCGCGCAGGTTAATTCCTAGAAGACTCGGCAGCTCCTCGACTTTCAGTCTCAAGATTTATGACCGGAGTTAGTATTTATATAAAAGTGCTGTGTAAGAATAGCGCATTTGCATGTAAATTCAATGACCTTGCATGAACGAGCCGCTGCTTATTGTTAATATTATTCACTTAAAAATTCCAACATAATAATTATCTGGAGGCACACTCAACTCTGGCGTGCAGCACACATGCAATCTTGCCTGCTGTATTAGTGTTTTGCATCAATTTATTATAAAGCCATGCACATGTAACCGTGGAGCAACGCATCAAAATTAAATTACATTGTTGATTGAAAAGCTTGAATAATTAAATTTAGAAATTTACATGAGCTCAATTGCAAATTCAATTTAATTCTCCCATAAAACATGAAAGTTTTGATGTAAATTATTTTCTTTTCTTGATCAATAATTAAATTCACACACATATTTCCTTCAATCAACATTAACAAAAAACATAAAATTAAATTATATAAAAAAAAATGGTAATTTACAATTATTATAATTTTTTGCAATCGTTTGTTTCCATTAGCAATCATTATCAATAATAATTTTATTTTTACATATTGAAGCAATGTCATTATCATTATTCTTATTATTTTAATAAACGTCAAGTTTGTTTTAATTAATCGAACTGAAAAGAAATATCTAAAGGCTACAAGTGCACGGTTTTTATTTTCTTTACCTTCATATGCGGTGCAACAGGTTCCACTGGACCATAAAACATCAAGTGCTGCTCATTTTTCGACCACACCTAACTCCCAGTCAGTCACACTTAGGAATCTTTTATTAAATAACGCAACACAACATGTAAATAAATAAACCGATGATTTTTTGCTGTCATCAAACCACCGTTTTATTATTGTCGAGAGAGTGAATTTAATTAGACGCTTCTCGCTTTACTGCTGCTCAACCGGGACAAAGATTTTTTAATATCGCGAAAACCGTCGGGCTGAGATGGGCGCCTGATTATTGTTGCTCAACACTTGAAGCGTTGCGCGCTCCTCCGTGATAATGATGCTGTGATTACGGCGCAGTTGAAGGTGATGCTCATCGCAGCTACAGTGATGTCACTTTAAAATACCACCTGCAGCAGGATGGAATCGTGAGGACATAATTTTATATACACACACATATCTGCAGAATAAATTTATCTCGCGTGTGATGCAACGGAGAGAATTGACGCGGGCGTTGAATCGGAAAGTGCAGCCAAGACATTCAGCACGCCCTTTAGGTGCAATGCACGTATGGTGCACACTTTTACTGGCCTCAAGTGACAATCAAGACTGTTACTATTATTATTTGAAATTATCTCAATAAACAACAATATTTACAACAAAATTTTTTAATTATTATTATAATGTATCAAAAAATTTATACCAAAAGTTTTTTATACCAAAATTTGCAATCAATCATTCAAGCTCGTGGAAATTAAGATCTTTTTTTCATCTTTTATTAATGTATATATATATTGTAATTTACATTATTGTCTCATTTCAAATTTCAAAACGTCGCCATCAATATTCACGCAGCGACTCGCCAACTGCAAACACCACATAAAGTTGCTGCGCCTGTTGGATGCCACACGTACACATTTATGCATACATTTATTTTTATTAATATTTTTACAATATAACATCGGTGCAGAGAGATGTTGAATCGTTTTGTATTCATGCATATTTTTTCCATACACGCTCTTTTGTAACCGTCTCTCGAGACAGGAGGATCGTTCATTAATAATATTATGACGTGCCAATATTATAAATATCGAAAACGGCCGTCGACTGCATATGAAGTGGCGTGGGCGGAATTCCATTTCGCAATATTCGCGTCTGTATAATATCTTCGGGACGTTTGAAAAAAAAAATAAAGATGAATATCCGCCTCTCAAATCCGATGGATAAATTTTCATGGTCTATCGTCCCAACACGATTCGTTATATATGAGAAAAAGTCAAATGGCGATGGGCGCCGGAGGCAAAACGCTTTTTAAAAAGTTGAGAGACATTGGCGAAATCGAGCGGCGACGAACGGTTTTTATGGTTTTGGCCGTCGATTCGCCGGCGTGAGTTGCGAAAATTCCGTATTTTTTTACGACACGGTCAAGTGTGAATTTTCACAGCATCAAAATGCAACGGGGGCATAAATAATTCAGCGGCCAGTAATGCAATCGATCGGTGGAACCGTACGCGGATGTGGCGGCGGCGGCGATGAAATCAACCTTGGCAGTGATGGGAGTGCAGTAATTTGTAATTTAGCAACTCACTATCAGTAGAAACTATGTATTTAGATGTTAATTCAACCTGCATTTATATATTATTGGTTAAAGTTAAAGATATGTAAATAACAATAGCTTTATTTAATTTAATATATTAAATGTTTCTTAATAAAAGGGTCCTAATATAAATTTTTTTTTAATTTAAAGAATTATTTTATTATTTATAATTTTAATATTGTATTTTTATTCAATATTTTTGATTTTTTTTTTTAATGAAATTTTTGCTTTACACGTTTAAAAAAAAATTTGTTATAATTGATTTTAATTTTTCTAATTAATAATTTGTAAAACGGTTAGAATTGGTCAATTTGAATAGATGAAAATGAAATATGGATGTTGCTTTAACGTAGCTTGGTCTGTGATTGAACCATGTAGTTCTGAAATATTGATGATTGATGAGCGACAATTAATATTAATAAACACACTTAATGGATTTCTTTTTATCCTCACTGGCACACATTGTTAAATAAATATAGTTAGTTGTCTAATTTTCTTAGAAATATTTTTAAAAAAATCTCCTTGCAAAAGGCCAGCCGTCATTTAATCAATCGCATATACATGATTCGATAAAACATCCTCCGCCATGCAGTAGCCTCAAAGCCCACTCGAGTCGAAATCAATTAAACTCTGTAATTAAAATCGGCTTAATTGCACCCGTTGAAATCACCGCGGCCAGATGCGTTTCGTTCCAACAGGGCGTTGCTCGCTCCTATGCTAATTCGGTGCAATTTATTAGGCAATTAGCCGTCGCGAATATCGAACCGTAATTTCTCATTAGGCATATTTATGGCGCGCGACAGATGCTTATCGCGATGTGTTTCGCCTTTGTGCGTCTCTCTCGGTGAACGTGTAACAATGCTTTTGAATAAAAAAAAATATAGCAATTCCGATCGGCGATCGAGCTGCGATAAAATATATTTATGCGGCGGCCAACACGGATTTCAGACGACACAATGAGATCAAGCGACTTCATTCTCGTTGCCAGGCAGATCCGCGGCCGAAGATAAATATTTAAAAATCCAAGGGTGCCCCCTTTTCTAATTACGAAACGCAACCCGGTGGGTGGTTATTAATTGGCCACATTCGTAATTATCGTCCGGCACAATGACAAAACGAGAGAAAAACGCAGGCTGGGCCGAAAGGAATTCCACGCAGAGAATTAACGAGCGCGTGTGGGAGCAAATTGAGAAACTCGCTCGGGCTACCAAATTTGCATATACACCTTCTGGCTGCTCTTATTAATCTTCCAATACCTGCAATTATTATTGCCCGGCCTGAGTTTCAAATTGGCAATGCTGCTTTTTCTTTGTCAAGAGCGAAAATAAATGCTAGTTACAAAATAAGCACTGTTATTTATTCCATATTTTTTTTTTTATTTGCAGATAAATTACTTTTTTTTAATTCTGAAATTCTAATGTATTTTGATTTGTGTTGCAGGTTCAACGATTAGCCCAGTACGAGAGCTACTTTGAGGCAGCCCTGGGAGCCACTCGCCATGAGCACCCGGACTTCGAGGACCTGAATCGAGCTTCGGCCAAGGCCAAGCAGGTAAATTACCCATTGACCTGTTGACCCGTCGCAAAATTTAATCGTATAGATGTGCGGAGAGTTAATTAGCACACGGGAAATTCTCGTACACTTTCCTTTCAAGCATGTAAACTAATTTTTGACAGAAAAGTCTAATTTAAAAGATTACTCATTTCTAAAAAAAAAAAAATTACTGACTTATTTGTAATAATTAGATAGAGAAATCCGTTTAGGCTTGGAGGTAAAAAATGAAGTGAGTTGTTGTGTTATTATAAATGCCAAATGTATAACATTCCAATTGAGCAAGAAAGAGCAGGGACTTGAGAAAATTTCATAGAGGAAAACGGTCGAAATTGAGTAACCGCACAGGCCGCGCGCGGACAGGAGAAATATTATTTCGTTTTGTTGGGCCAACGAAATATTCCCATGATTGTTGAGGCGCAAAAGAAACATCTCTCATGACCATGAAAGTTCTCTGAAGGTGACGCGCGCGCTGAAAATTACGCAAAATTTACGTATTTGTTTTTTGCTTCCTTCCCCACTCTGCGCTATAAATGCAACAAAGCACTTTAATTAGCATACATGGACATGCAATTTGCAAGCTTATCAGATTGTGCACGTGGAAAAGGAAGACGCCAGAGATTCCTTCGCGTGCGCTGCAATTTCGCAAACGTCCCTTTGCAAATTTTCCCTTGGTTATAAAATTAACCAAGATGTCACTGCCCTGTGCGTCGCATTCGTGTTTGTCCGGCGTGGAAATTTTTCGCCAGGAAAGGGATACGCGCATTAACTAATTCGCAAATGTGAACAATGGAACTGCGCCGCACAAAACTATAGCACACGGAGACCGGATAAAGAGAGTTAAGTGCGTTGCTGACAGCCATTGCTTGGTGGCATAAAACTAGGAGGAGAACGCCCTGCGCGCTTTATTGCTCCTGATTGGGCGCTATTATCGCAAAAAAGGTTCTTATCATCAGCTGAGATTTATCTCGTGCAAGTTATATCACAGTTTGGTCATAAAATGTTATTGAAACGAATAGGAGAAATTCTTTGAAGAGTTTCATAATTTTTGGTAGCAAAATTCCTTTTCAAAAGGCAATCAAACTAAAAGCTTAAAAGTGTGTAACTAAGATATTTTATTTTAAATTTAGATTTAAGAGAATTTAATATAATTAAACTTAAAGATCAAGTCAAAATTTAAAGAAAAAATTAAATATTTAATGCATTTTTTTTTTATGAAAAATCGATAATTTTACGAATTATTACAAATTAGTAACTTATCCCACACAGTAAATTCCAAAAATTTACTATATTACAGCTTAGAAGCTTCAAACACCTGTTGGCAGCAGCAATTGCCCAATCATGCTTGTTGCATTCCTCTATGAAGAGGGTAATTTTGTATGGGAAACGTTTATGCTATTTCCAGCGGCATTCAAACGCTTCTACTTTCGCACACAATGGGAATAAAAATTAACTCCGTCATTGAAACCTATCCACGCGAACTTAGAACGATGAAGGCTCCTTCACACTATAATTAAATCTCCTTCAATAATATGCTTTGCGTACAAAGAGAGAGATAAAGTTTTAGTGCAGGGAAGCACCTTCAACCGCTCGTTAAAGTGTGTCTGCAATGACTTTGATTCAATTGCATGTCAATTAAGCGAGCACCCATAAATTAAAAACGAGAAGTAAAAAAATCAGACGAACACCCACGGCCATAATTATATAAATTAAAACTTCTTTAATGCCAAATTCAAGCTTAATGAGCGCACTTTTTATTATGACATCATCCCTTGACCAAGCTAATTCACGACCAGAACTTTAATATAGAAAGGAGATTTTTTTTTTAATTTTTACGACCTGCATCTTGCCCTTGAATTTGATGTTTATTTTAGTGCAAGTAAAATATTACACCTTGATGAAGGTATACTTTAATTAACATCCTGTTCAAATTAGCCGCGCTTTTTATTATGATGCAAAGAGGTCGACTGGTAAAAAATTTATAATTAAAGTGTTTTTATTTATTTTTTTACCGAAGTTAAAAACATTTACATCGTGTCGCGAAAAACGAAATAGATATTAATTTCAACTACGAATATATGACAAAAGGAAAACGCCCAAAAGTTGCGTCATCCTACCGATAAGAAAAGCTGCGTAGAAGATAATCTAGTGGGCAGATTTATTGCTAATATTTATTGCCTTTATCCAATTGTGTTTCACCATTGTGTTCATCTCTCTGATTCAATTTAAATTCCTGTTGAGAGAGAAATCTCCATATACGCGACGCACGCTAATAAAATTATTTTCTCCCTCATGTATATATTTATTTTTTGCATCGAGTTTCATTATTCGTATTACTTTTCTGCGTGTCGGCTTCGGTGAGACATCCACTTTCCACGAATCGCAGAGTTCACATTCTCAGAATTCCATACCTGCCTGCGTTAAGTCGGCGACTAGCATAATTTTTCAACTTTGCCCTGGTGTGTCGCAAAGTCTGTCAGTCAGTTCAAGGCGCTCGGGAGCATCAAGTCTGTTAAAACTGTCGAGAAGTGACGCAGCTCTTAAACTTGCAGATGATGATTGGGTCACAGTCGTACCTTTTTCGGCGAAACACCTTTGGAGGAAACCGCACCAGCCCAATTTTGGGATGCATGGCGCTTGTCTTTATGGTACTACTAGGTATAATTAAATTAGCAAATTACCTGTAATTTTTGTTTGAACGAGAAAAACGCGACTTTTTTCTCTTTGATTAGACCTGAAATTTCATAAACTGGTCTGACCATCAAGTTAAAATTATTTTTGGCAGACTGAAAGATATTACAAAATAACATAATAAGTATATAGTCCGGAGAATTAAAAAGCCAGATTAATTCCTGATATTTTTTTTAAACAATTTTGTAACGAAGGGATATTTTAATTTGAAAATTCCAGAAATGAAGTAAATTTTTTCATGGTCGGAAGTACTATTGCTATTCGTAAACCATTTATTTTCACCTCTTGGATTTGCCTTTTAACAAATTTAATTAAAATGTTTCCTCTCGGATCTTGTCAGTCAGAAAATTTATTAATTTGGCCTAAATTACTAAAGGTCACTAAGGGGCCAGAGTAAATCAATCCGAGTGCAAAATTATGGTTCATTCAAAAGGCGCAACGAATCCATTTGAAAAAAAAAAATGAGTTGTTTCTAATTGCAAGCCTCATACTTAGTCAAAAGGTCCATTAATTAAAAATTAGCAGACAAACAAAAACGGATGTGGCCGTTGAAGGAGCGTCTCTCTCACCAAATCCTCTCTCTTTTTTTTCGCCAACGGAATTTATTTTCCTCAGCGCGCGGCTGCGGGATATTTTGGCGAGCTGCCCCTGTGAGCGCGTGTTTTGTTTTCTCGCCGAGAGTAAAAGATGAGCCCCATCATAATTCCAAGGCCAGCCCGTGTATAATATGCATCTCCTCAGGTTATGGCAGCGAACACACGGCAACAGAAGAAGCGCGCACAACTATGTCTCGAAGATGCTCCCTGAGCACACCGCCGCGGCCTTGACAGAGAAAATTGAGTGTCTCATTTTTTGCCCCATTACATTTTTAATATAGAATCGATTGGCTGCTGCGAAATTGGAAATAGACAAAAGTTTTTTATCATAATGGGCAGCCGCAAAATATAGGGTAGCAGTGCGGATTTTGGTGCGTGGCCACACCAACGAAATTGAATTCCATCAGAAGCCTTGAATCTGCCCGTGACATTCAACATTCAACCAAGTCGCAGATAATCCGATTAGAAAAAAGAATTGTGATCGAACTTTTTTCATCTCGCAACCTCTGTTTAAAAAAAAAAAAAATTGGCAATGATGTATTTTTTTATTTGCTGTTTTTTGAAAGATGAAGCAGAACTGAAATGAGCAGATGCAATTAAAAGAAAAATTTTAAATAATTGATCAAGATGTACTGGTTCAAAATATCCCTTTATCGCCCCATGCAAAGTGATGCCAAGTTAGCAAAATAAATCCACGTGGGACCCTCGACTTGAGATTGTTATTTAAAAAATTTCATTTTGAAATCAAATTAGTTAGACACATGAAATATGACACTTTAAATTTTACCGTTTATGTCACTGATTTTTTTTATCTTTTGTGATTCCAGGCTGTCAAACGGACGCAGGAGGAAAGCGATTTGGAAAGGATTCAGGACCTTTTCCCCAATGATTCCCTGTGCCTATACGAAAAAGATGCCATCACAATGGTAAGAAAGATTATTTCCTGCAGCACTTTATTTACAGCCAAACATTTTAGAGCTTCCTGTTATAAGTTATACGTTCCCCTATCTATAACCCCACTGTACATTTTTATATTTTTAAGCACTCTAGAAAAACATCTTGGTCTGACATAAAAAATAAATCCGAGTGCAAAAGGTGCCTTCGTTGTTTTTCTTTTTAATTTTTTTTTCACACACAAACCGTGCACGAAGATCTCACATTTCCTTTCCTGCATCTCGCAGCAGCAGCACGACTTTGCTCTTTAGTGCTGTCAAATTTGACGCGTAAAAATTACTAACAGGTTGCAGCTCAATTTTTTTCTCCCTCACGCCATCGCCGAATATGAATAGCCAAAAGGATATTGACTGCTACGCTGATGCAAATCTAATCACCGTCGAGGAGTGTGATGAATTTTCATCCGCTTGTGTTTATTTTTTTTTATTACGGAGAGGAAAATGAGATGCGCCTCAATCAAGCCGCTGCATGCATTCCGATCACGTTTCGTTTCGAAAATTAAATGAAAAATTTTACGTCATGAAAAAACGCGAGAATTTTGAAACCGGCAACTTCCCAGTGAATAAATAAATATAGAAAAACAAAAAAGCTGCATCTTGCTGGCAACTTTCTCTCGGGAATGCGAGCCGGGCCTTAATTAAATGCGCGAGAGTTATATAATAAAAAATAGTAAATAAGCGCTGAGAGATAATGATACAGGTGGGGTCGATCGAATTTCCATAATTTTACCAGATGAGCGTGCCGTGCCGTTGCGCAGTAAAAAAAGATTGACGAAAAGCAATAATTGAGATGAGAAAGTGCGCAGAGTTCGATTCGTCTTCGGCAGAGCAAGCAGAGGGCAATCAAATGATATAATAATTTGAATCAATGACCTCGATATATACGTGTGAATGCAATTATCTGATGCAGGTATTATGTCATTGGCTCATTGAAATGTGAGAGATTGTCTCTGTTCGGTAATAAAAGAGTTTCACTTTTCTTGATGGTGCCCCATGAATCGATAGGAGCTGCTCGCCAATGGAGCAACTCATAATAAAGCTCGATTAATTAAAGTAATGTATTTTTACGCAATGAGTAATTTCGAGCCGCCAATCAGATTTCCAACGGCGTAGGAAGAAGTCTGGACAGGGAGATTTTATCTCTGCTAAGGAAACAAAATAAAAAATTGAAAATAAATGGGGTTAAAACTAAGCTGACACACTGACGTGAGGAATAATATGCGAGTTAAAAGGCATGAATTGTTAACTCAACTGTAAAATCGACTTGCTAAACAAAGATGTAATAAACGTAATGGTATTCATATAGTTTAATATTAAACGTTTCCCAACAAATAATAAGTTTTTCTTCATAAACATAAATTTCCACATGAATGTGAGACGCGTAGGATGGCTGCTGCAAAAGTAATAAATAAATTAATTTTGTAATTTAGAGTCAAAATTTTAATTTACATAATAATCAAACTTCTTTAATGCATGAAAAGTTTTTGAAAATATTTAAAAAAAAAAAAGCTTTTTTAAAAGAATTCACAAAAAAAATCTAATTCCACTAGCGAAAGATCAAACAAACCAAACAAGCAGTCTGTATTTTTTGCACTGAAAAGCTTCTTCAGACACAATGCACATTTACAGAGGAGCACGTTTTTGCGCTTTTTTTTCTTTTCGCAAATAAATTACTGCATGCATTCAAAGAGACACGCTCGTGCAGACTTGCTAATAAATTCGCGAGCGGCAGAAAAAGCCGCTCTGCAAATCCTTTTAGGGCGGCAAAAGTCATTAGATTGCGGACTGCGGTGCTTGAAGGAGCGTATTATTCAATCGTTTCTGCTGTTGCTGGAAAAAACTCGCAATAGTTTTACACACGCCGCCATATAATCGAGGGCTTAAAGAGAGTCGCTGCTCGCCGAGAAAAGAAAAAAGCGGCCGCATTAAGAAAGACTTCCGCGTGCTGTAACCTGTTGTTAATATTATTATACACACGAGAGCAAAAGCTGAATGAGTAAAAAGGCTGAAAATTTTTAATAATAACACGTACCTGTCCGTCAGCGGCGAGCATGCGGCGAATGATGGGAGCAAAACATTTTGTGAAATTATAACAGTATACCCAGCGGCTCGAAAATAACTCGCCAAAGCTGCATTGTAATCAAATTATAAACACCTCTGTTTCGCTCTTCATCGTTTTTGTATTATTACGCAAGAGAATAATAAAAATTTCGGGACCTTTAACTCGGCGACGGGAAAAAATTAAATATTATGAATGATAATCGCCGTAGCTTGGGAAAAAATCTGCAAAAATGCATACGACGGTGAAACAATTTTTGAGAGGCATGGAAACTGTTTTGGGAGGAGGAAAGTGGCGCCTAGTGGGTTGGTCCCGTTATCCGCGCGAAATTTCGGACGTGTGTGGTGCGCCTCGAGTATGATCTCATTCCTGGCGCAAATTGCCATGCATGCTGATGCTCCGGCAAGCGTAATTGGGGTTATAAAATGAGCAAATTAACTCTCTTGGTGCTTTGCATTTTCCGTATATGGCGTTGTTTTTGCCGCTCAGCGCGAAATGCTCTCGTTCTGATGATTATAATAAACACACGTGGTGCGAATTTTGGCGGCGTTTTTTTGTTATGATTTTATTGCCTGATATAAATAACTCGCGGGGATTGGGGAATAAACTAGGGGGTTTATTTCCAAATTCAATTTTATTACACTGGCAACGCAGATGAAGAGAGATGTGGCCGCAAGGTGCTCGTTTATGTTTCAGAGAGATTTGAAGGCTGAATTGGACCAATTGAAAGGTTCCTGCCTCTGATAAATGTTGTTGAAAATTAATTTTGGCCGTTCTTTGTGGATTTTAGAAGAATGTGTGCTAAAAGGTCAAGTCTGACGTGCTCATCAAACTCAAGGAAAAATATAAACGGCACTTGCTTAGCTGAAAAATCTCAATTTATTTATGCCCACAGTACTAAAATATACAAAATGCTAGAAGGAAAATGAAGCACACTGACCTTCATTGTAATTTTGTTGTTGTTGTTATATATTTTAATTAATAAAATTTTATTTAAAAACCTATACCGTGACAAAAAATCATCCATAAATAAATTTTAATCAACATGAATCAAAGATGAATTTCCGCTCTTGACATATTTAAACATTTATTAATTTACATAAAATATTTCCCCGATTTCTTTAATTTTCTCCAATTAATTTAGATTTTTATATTTTATGCTGTTAACTGTGTATAATTGCATTATATGCTTATTTGATCTAATTTTATTTTTGCAGAAGATGAAGGGGCTGATTCGAAAGCGGTCAACGACTGCTGCCCGTCTCCAGCGAGCGCTCTCCACCAAGAACGGCAACAACAAGGATGAGTCGACTGCCAGAGAGGAGGCCAACTCGAGGCCCGAAAAGCGGCAGTTCCTCATGGAAACGGCCGTCCAGTTTACGACCGTAAGTGAATTTTCCCTCGTCAGCGCTAAAATAAAAAATTAAAGCCAAAAGAAAGGAGACGCGCCTCTCAGCACTTTTCTAGCTCGAATCGCACTACAACACTTGGCCGCGAGGATTTGTCATTTATTTGTTTTACTTTGAAGCATACCCGGCGTGAAATACGCCCCTGTGTTTATACACTACGGCTCGTATGCCATCCAAAGATTACATTACGCCTCTTGAAAAAGCTGAGAGTGCGTCACTGCTCGTTTTGCATGCGTTAATGTTGCGTATACGGTGCCTTGGCGACACGCATAGCACTTTTTATGGCCGTCCGGACCCATATTTAGACGCGCGAGCTGCACATACGTGCGTCCGACCGACCATCAGGATCTCGCCTGATGGCACGTACCGGGCAGCTCACACAAATAATGTGTTGAGAAACGTTGACAGTGACCATAGCGCGCAATTGAACCTGCCAATGGTGACAAAACTCTGTTAGAAAATTGCGCTCAAACCGAAGGATTTCACAACAGGCAAAACAAAACTCTTTTCCAAGAGTTCAATTTTTAAATGAAATAGAAAATAAAATAATCAAAAATTCATAAAATAATAAAAGAAAATCAAGAAAATCAATCTCAAAATATTGCAATTAATTATAATTTTCAATCAATTTTTATTTTATTAAATATAATTTACAATATGATAGCTAAATATTTGTCCAACAGGGGATGCAAAGTCAAGAGAGGCACTTGTTTTTATTCAACGACATGCTTCTGGTGGCCAAAGCCCGGTCTGGAGGCAACTTCAAGCTGAAGGAAAAGGTGCGCGTTTCCGAAATGTGGCTCGCTCGCTGCATTGACGACGTCATCGAGGTGCAGAGGTCGCAGGAGACCTCCCTCGTGCTAGGGTGGCCCACCACCAATGTTGTCGCCACATTTGGGTAAGTCTGAATTTATGATAAATATTTTTTCTATTTTCAATTGTACTGAACCCTAAATTTTATTTAAGGGTTGATTTTGATAACTATTTTTAGTTGCAATTCCGCAGTGAGTCGAAACCAACATCAAATGTCCATCAGCTCAGTTTAATGCATCAGACTTTTTAGAGGAAGTGAATTGTCGTCAGTTGGGTAAAGGGGAAGAATCCATTTCAAGGCACCCAAAGGTCCATCCTCTGTTCCCGGCTGTTTTTTTTTTCTTCGCTGGACGCACTTAATGAAAATGTGATGAAGGCATGTTTCTGAGGGCAGCTGCCCTTCTTTTGGTGAAAACGCATTTTCATGCTCTCACACGAGTCTATGAAACAAATAGTAATGATGGCAACGACTAACGAGCCCTGCGGTAATGAGAACACCCTTTTCTCTGTGGCCGCGGACGATTCTCACACCCGCGTGCAGCATCCGACCGCGTCAATCCACCCACAAAAACGTGGTAGACACGCACAATTATGGCAATCAGCCGCGCGGAACTCCAAGTCTTCTTCTTCCCGACGTCGGCGGTGCGACGGGCTTTTTTATTATCACGTCGTAAAAAAGCCAAAACACACTGAAAACGAGAGTGAGCATCTCACAAAAGCGTCTCTCTCTCTCTATCTCGCCTCTATGCAATCATCCCGAGAGTCACTCTCGTGATTCACTTGTTACACTTGATTTTGTTCTGTGTGAGCTTTAGTAGTCGGGCTCGCTCACGTCTGCTCACCTACATTCAACCGCCCACACGTGGAATAAAATGCACCGTGGCTGAAAAATCGTGATTTAGTCATTTTGTCTCTGACGCGAGTTGTCTGGTTGCCTTTCCTCCAGGATGTTCAGTTCTTCAAGTTCAAGTGCAAACTCCAAGTATGAAAATAATATATGCAATTTATATTTTTTTTTTATCAAAACTTCTTTCAAACCGACGCACATTGGATTGGGAATTGTTTTTAAAATTTGTAAGGAAAGCATTCTCTTCTCATATCAATCATGTGTCCACCCTCAAGGCCACTGACAGCCAGACTAATGAATGCGAGTGCAAAGTGCATCCATCAGGTATAGTGTCTGCATTCCAAACCGTTGCCAAAAGGAATGCGCACAATTTTAATAATTTTTGCTGGCCATAAAAATGTTTCAGTTTTATTTTTTTATTCAAATTTTTTAATTTTTTTCATTTGAGTAAATTTTTAATTAATATTACATGATCAAGAAACCCGGGAGTGAAATTTTTGTTTTTTTCGCTCCAGAGAATTTGCTTTGATTAAGCACGTGCATCCTCACTATAGACATAATTGTTTTCTGTCGAATAAAAGACGGTGCGTTTATTTTTCCCTGTATTTTTGACAGCTCCCTTTTATATTATATTTAAGTCGTCTCTTCATATCTCTTTAAACGGATTATTTGCGTCTTCAATTCTTCCAGATTCTTCACCCCGAGATAAGTCAGCGAGATATTGTCTCGCACATTTGCTGCTCGCACCCCTTTTTCTCTCAAAAATATTTTCTTTCGCTGCACTTGCCAGTTTTGTAATCCGCGCTGCCCCGTCGTACGTCTCATGTCAGGCAACGACAAGCATTGTTTGCCCAACACTCCCCTGCACTCCCTGTTCATGTTATTGTATCACATTTTATGCACGCAGGTGTGAAATTTTAAATGACCATCTCGAATCACATGTAGGCTTGGGAAATTTTCCTCTTCTTGGAGTTGCGAAATTTTGCACTTGAGTAGATCGCAAATTCATCAAGCATGGAAGTGCTACTGTGTTGATTTTGCCGTTGTGATTCTAAAAACGTGTATTTTTGTTCCAGTTCTTTCAACTAGAAAAAAGATTTCATCCGGTACTTCCACCAAGATTTTTTTTAAATATATAAACTTAAATTCAATTCCAATTTTTTTGCATCAGTGCTAAATTTTAATATAATAAATTTAAATACCGTTAATTTATTCTTTTCTCTGCCTAAATTGTGACTTAAAAGTTATAAAGCACCCCTCTTTCAAATAAATCGAAGTAATTAATATAATTTAAAAACCATAATTATTTGGATTTTTTCCTCGAAATAAATAATATGATTTCTGAAAGCAAACCCAACCAAGTCAAAATATCGTCAGTCAGCATTTCCATCAAATAAAATTGCATCTCAGGTTTTTTAATGATAGCAAACGAGGCCATAAATAACGAAAGGGAAGATCCCTCTGCGCCTGCCGGCCACGTGGTGATGTTTTTCTTTCAATTTCGCGCAACACCCTGTCAGTGGGCCTTGATGATTTTTTTTTTACGCACAAAGGAGAGCCGCACACAAGGAATTTTTGTGAAAAGCGGCTCATCTCTCGCTGCTGGAGGCTGGAGCCAGCCGGCTATAATGTGTGGGATTGAAGTGGCCAGGTCAGGGAAAACCGAAAATGAAAAAATTCCCACACGGCCGGCGGCAGGTGACTACGGCATGGATCCTCAATTAGGATAGGGGGGTGGAAGAGGAGCTTTTTAGGGAGGTAGTCGAGAATAATGAGTTCTTAGGTAGGTCGGCGAGCCGCCGTTTTTATCCCTAAATTTATTTCCGCTAAGACCATTTTCTTCATTATTTCCTCTAATTGTCAGTTCATGAAAATCATGAATGATTTTCTGTAAGTTTTTTTTATTCCCCTAAAAATAGTGTTGGGTGGGACGTTTTTTGATCCAATTTGCTAATTTCGAGATCAAAGAGTCAACTTTGCTTGCTTTTTGGAACAGCATAATTTGAATGCAAAATTTTTAGAGAAAATTTTAGAGCAGATGTCTGTCAATCCAAGTGAACTTTGGCAGGGTCAACCGATCATTACCAAATTTTACAGGGTGATAGACCATATTAAGAGGTTTCCAAACATATATAGGTTTACCCCAATATCTCAAAATTTCCGGGTTTTACGGGCCATTCAAATTTGGATTTTGAAAATTTTTAAACGTCTGTATCTCGGCTTCCCGTGGTCGTAGAACAAAAAACTTGGGTGATTTGGAATCCTCTTATTGCCCTCTACAACTTTGCTTTGAAGTGCAAAATAGTAGGTCACAGGTCAAGGTCACTTCCGGTGACCTCGTGACCTTTGACCTCAAATTTAAGGTTGAGCCGTCACTTTTTTCAAAATTCTGAGATAGCCATTTTGTAGATCGCTAAATTTTACGTTGTATAAGAGAATAAAAAAAATGGGACCCCTCTTAGTTTTTTTAATTAAAAAATAAAACCAATAAAAAACGTGGTTTTCCGAGCTCTGAACTTGGAAAAATAACTTTGAAGCTCTGTAACTTTTTATGTGTTAGAGATAGGTAAATTGTTCCAATGACAAAAAGTGTTTATTTTTAGACGGGCAATCCAACCATGTAACACACATACTGATCAGGTCACAAAAGGTCATTGACCCTGGTGACCTGTGACCTTGAAATTATTTTTTATGCCAGTATGATACATCGTTGGAACGAGGACATTAAGAGGATCATTTTGGTACCCGGAATTATGTAGTAGCTCAAAGAGGAACGAAGTTATTAACGTTTAAATGCTATCCATAATTAATATTTTTAGTTTTTAATTTAAAAAAACTGCAATAACTCCGTTCCTATTTGAGCTACTACATAATTCCGGGTACCAAAATGATCCTCTTAATGTCCTCTTTCTAACGATGTATCATACTGGCATAAAAAATAATTTCAAGGTCACAGGTCACCAGGGTCAATGACCTTTTGTGACCTGATCAGTATGTGTGTTACATGGTTGGATTGCCCGTCTAAAAATAAACACTTTTTGTCATTGGAACAATTTACCTATCTCTAACACATAAAAAGTTACAGAGCTTCAAAGTTATTTTTCCAAGTTCAGAGCTCGGAAAACCACGTTTTTTATTGGTTTTATTTTTTAATTAAAAAAACTAAGAGGGGTCCCATTTTTTTTATTCTCTTATACAACGTAAAATTTAGCGATCTACAAAATGGCTATCTCAGAATTTTGAAAAAAGTGACGGCTCAACCTTAAATTTGAGGTCAAAGGTCACGAGGTCACCGGAAGTGACCTTGACCTGTGACCTACTATTTTGCACTTCAAAGCAAAGTTGTAGAGGGCAATAAGAGGATTCCAAATCACCCAAGTTTTTTGTTCTACGACCACGGGAAGCCGAGATACAGACGTTTAAAAATTTTCAAAATCCAAATTTGAATGGCCCGTAAAACCCGGAAATTTTGAGATATTGGGGTAAACCTATATATGTTTGGAAACCTCTTAATATGGTCTATCACCCTGTAAAATTTGGTAATGATCGGTTGACCCTGCCAAAGTTCACTTGGATTGACAGACATCTGCTCTTAATTTAGAATAAAGGAATTTTAAGTGAAATGGGAATAAGATTTTACAGCAAGTATTTTAGGGGAAATAATAAATTCTGAAACATTTAAGGGAACTGTTTTTAGGCGCAAATAGGGGCTCCCAGGTCTGCCGGTCCGCCTCAGGTGCACGCAATCCTCCCTTTGTGCGTCGCTTCCCCTCCTTCCCTTTCTTCCTTCTTCTTCTCAGCAATCGCGGGTCTGCTGCGTTATTTTTCTCCCTCCTCCAGTCGCAAGCCAGTCGTCCCTTCGAACGTGTGTGCCGTGTATAGTGATTTCTGGAATTGACATTTAGTTAGTTTTTATTTTCAATGACCGTGCTGGACGATTCGCCAGCGGAATCGGCCGCCGGTTTTTTCGGCAAAAGTCTGATGCGGCGCCTGGGACTCTCGAGCACGAGTGTGCTGCCCAAACTGGACGGCGGCGCCGCCGACGCGTGCCGCCTCTCCAAGTGGGCCCGACTCGGTTTCGACTCGCCGCCGAATCGCAACTCGTACTTGGGCTGCTTCTCTAACAAGCCTGCCGATCTCGATGTCCACAGAACCCAGGCGGCCCGCGACCTTTGGCTCAGCAAGTTGAGCGAGGTCATCGCCGCCGAGAGGGACAAGGAGCCGCGCACCACCAACATTCAGGTCGTCTTCTATGACAACGCAACCAATATTGAATACGTAAGTAATCATTAATTTGTATATTATTATTTTTAATTTTTTATTTAACTAGCTGAGTTTATTTTTTTTATTTTTAATTTAAAAATTTAATATCTAATATTATTATAAAATTTATTAATTTAATATTTGATCTTGTAAAATTTTATTGAATTTAACACTTTTATAAAAAAACATTATTTCGATAATTTTAAAAATACGTAATTTAATTTGTATATTATATGACGTGATGTCTTGATCTGCAATCAGTACTTAAGTAAACATTACTCTTTCTTCTTTCCATTTTCGCAGTATGTTTTTGGATCTGCCTTATTCCTACATTCGTTTAATTATTATTAAATTAAAATCATGTTGATATCATTGCATAAAAAAAACAAGATTCATAGTTTTCACCTTTTCTCTTTAGTCAAATAAAAAAATTGAAACATTAATACATAGTAGAAGAATGATGGATCTGTCAATCTCGGCTTTATTCGCTGATTTACTTTAAAAAAAAAAAACAATTTTAATTTCTAAAAACGATATCACAGATTAAAATAGCTATTTTTTTTTTTACAAATCATCTCCCAACGTCAAATATTTCATATTTATCTAGCTATTAATTACAGCTAATTTTCATTACTCTTTTCAACTGACCGCGAGTCTATACGAGTTCACTGACTCATAAGTCGCGGCCATTAATGCCAAAATATTTGCATGCAACATCAAAGGGAGTTTCTCTGGCGGCACACGTGAGATGAATGAGCAACGCCGTTAATTTCCAGAATGCAAATTTGATGATTGACAACTAACTAGCGTGGGTGTCATAAATCCCGACGCGCAGATCACGGGTCGCGGCCTCTCGCGCCTAATTGAATCCTCGATCGTTGCATGCGAACAATGAGGCTAATTTCGGCGCCCACTGCCGATTCGCAAGTGGGTCAGACGCGCGAAATCAACCTGCGCCTTTTTTCCAGTTTGAATAATTCTGAAATTCTAAATCGTTAAGCCAAATCTATTTTCCTCTCAATTAGTTCTGTCTCAACTACATAATTACTTCGGTAATTGAATTGCAATTAAAGTGAACCGTTGCGAATGCATAGGCGCACTTTACTTTCAGCGGCGCCTGAATGGTTGGATGAGTCATCAGAGTGGCGCGACAGCAGCCTTATACGCGACGAATTCACTTAAGGGAATTAATTAAGCAGGCCGCGGTGATTAAATAATCGAAATTCTCGTTCGCGGCCAGAAATAAAGCGCCACCGTTTTCAATGCCCATTTTCCACGAACGGTGAGTGGCAGAAAGAGAACCCGCGCACCTATATAGAAATTATCTCTACGCGGCTATTATAGAACACTGTCCTCTTGGAGCAACGACTCGTTTCGTCCTCTCTATGTAAATGACCTTCCGCACGCCCACCCGATAATCCTTGCATTTGCACCTCGACTCGCGCCGATTCAAATCCTGGAAAGTTCGTTACACTTTTATTCTATCTATTCAAATAGGCAAAAATCCGTGAAATTCGAGACACGTGGGAAAAAATAAAAACGCAGTCTCTATAGACTAATCCGCCCTGTGGTGCCATTTTTGAAGTGCCGCGGGAAAAAATTTGAAGGATCTCAAAACTCTTCAGTATTCTTTCTCCAAGCGAGAATCACTCACTTCACTTCCTGCCCAGCGTGAAACATGCTTGGGTCAGCCGAAAGTGCGCGGCCGATCGTTTTCCCATTTCTTCAGAAGAGAGACGCATTGTTCTGCAGAAAAAGGCACGGGCAGGAAATATATGAAATTTTAGTCGCGGCTGGAATGAATTGACGGGTGCGGCGGTGCCAGCAATTCGTCGCGCCACCTTTAGAAGTCCATTAACCATTGTGTCCGTTTTACATGGAAATTCAATATTTGGTTAAAAGTAGATTTCACTTTTGGGTAAACCGACAGACCCTTGGAGCCATTAAAAATCGATTGATGTTGGACGCGATCGAGTTTCTTTAACAACCTCTACTTCAGATTTCAATTATAATCAGAAGTGAAAAAGACTTTTCAAAATCATTTCCAAGCAGTGGAGTCTAATTCAAATAAATTAACGGAGCGTGCAAACGGTCGAACTGTTCCTCAGAATTTGTATTATTTTCGCTCACAAGGTGACTTTGGAAGCCCAGAACGGAATCATTATTATTTGCATTAAATTTTAATTAATTACTGCTAGAACACAATAATAATTTTATTTTAAAATGGATTTATTTCCATTTTCCTTAAATATTTTTCAAAAGAAAAAAATGCCTCTCATTAACATTGCTGCTTTAAAAAAGATCAGCGAAAACCGAACATCCATTTACAATTTTTTTTCCATTTTCAAAAGCCTGAAAGAAGTAAACCGAACATCGCCTGTCCATCAATTATTCGTAATTTGAATGAGACTTGTAAAAATTTCACCTGAAGTCGTGAATGGGACGTGTTTTTACAACCGGGGAAATTAAATCCGGGCCGCGTCTCAAAAGTCAGCATTTCGTGCCGCGGTGTGCCTGCCCTTGGATTAACTTGCATTCATTCGCGCGCGTAGTAAAACACCTGTTGCGGGTGCGTGCGTCTTTTGAATGAATATTTTCCCTCTAAATTGAGCTTTTACCAGGAAAAAAGGATTACACTGACAAATTATTGTGCTATTTGTTGCAGTGCAAGACGTTCAGCGTGACGCCTAACGAAACGGCGCGCTGCTGCATCAGACTGGCCCTCGAGCACCTGGAGATGCGCGGCCTGGACCCCACGCAGTTTCAGCTGTGGGCCCGCACGGGCCGCGACGAGGCCCCCTACCCCCTGATTGGCCACGAGCGGCCGTTCGCCATCAAGCTCAGCTGCCTCAGGGACGGACTGAGCACCGAGGAAGGATTTGACCTGGACCACTGCAACAACATTTACGGAACTGACCCCCTTACCAAGTGCCAGTTCATCCTTAGGTGAGTTAGAAAGCAGATTTAACGATTTCTTTAAAAATGAATAAATTTAAAGGCCGAAAAATAATAATTTATTTTTAATTCCAGAAATATTCGAAAGCCAATGGACTTTGCTTCAAACAACGCTTGTGATAACAAGAATAAGTCAAAGAAAAACAGAAAGTCTCCCATGAAGATTCGCCAGGTCTTCCGCCGCTCCAAGGGCGGCGAGGACAGCACTGACAGCTGTTCCCCAGCGCCTGGAGCACTTTTTGGTCTTCCCCTGTCCAGAGTGTGCACCGCTGACGGAAGCCCGCCCATGGCAGTCATGGTGAGTTTTCTTTTCTGCCTTTTAAGGATTCTATTGAATGATTAAGCAAATTGAATAAAATTTTTGATGTGTTTTTATTTCCTTGTGTCCGCAGGCCATGCTGCAACAGGTTTTCCTCAAGGGACCCTTCACGCAGGGCATCTTCCGCAAGTCGGCCAATGCTAGGATAGTGAGGGAAACGAGGGAGCAGTTGGACGCTGGAACGTCACCAGCGGTTCTCGAGCACCTGCCAGTCCTCGCGACAGCAGGTCTGCTCAAGGATTTCTTCCGTTCTCTGCCAGAGCCCCTGTTGGCCGCTTCGCTCTACAAGGACTGGCTTGACGCCGTCGACGGACATCCGGATGAACCTGAGGCTGACAAATTAGTCAGGGTCAAGAGGTAGGCTCTGTTAATTTTAACCGTACATTTAAAAGGAATAAATGTTAATTATCCTATTTAATTCATTTCATTGATTTATCATTTAATTAATAAATAATTTTTTTTTCTTTCAGTGTTTTGGAACGACTTGCGCCCGTCAGCCAGTGCTTATTGGCCCACTTCATTTGTGTGCTGCACCACATAGCCCGCCGCTCCAGTCAGAACCTGATGAACCCCACCAACCTGGCCGTGTGCGTCGGACCAAGTTTGCTGTGGGGTCCTTCGCCAACCCCTGCTGCATCCCGTGCCATACCAGCTCTCGTCGAGATGTTGATTTCAAGATGCGACACCCTAATGGGCGTTGGGGTAACCAAGCTGATGGGCGAGGCCCCAGAAAGGGACCCTACAAGGCAGGACAGTGGTGCTGAAGAGTCCGACAGTTTGCACTGTAAGTTGAGACGATGATTTCTATAATTTTACTTTTTAACTCTTAAAAATATTTTCCATTCTAAAAGAGGATTTAAATTGCATTAAATTTAAATTTCGATGGATGGAGAGCTACCATTAGGTGTTCCACTGTTGAAATACACAAAATAAATATAAACAGAAGCAAATAAAATAAATAGCTTTGAATTCATTATCAGTTATGATTGTAATTTATATTTATTCTTCCCAGCAGGTGGAATGCGGAGGGATGACTCGTCAATCGACAGTCTGGAGCGCGAAGAGCTTCTTGGCCCCTGCCCTCCTCCTCGCAAGGACAAGATGTCCCTCAGCAGGGACTCTGGTCTCACCATGTCCGACTCGCAGTTGTACACACCTGACGAGGAAGAGTCCGGCTCTACCAGCTCAGGCATGAGCGGCGAGACCAAGGGAGTGCCCGTTCCTCGCGGTGGAATCTACCGTCCGCCCCAGCCGCAGAACGCCACCCCCAACACCAGTCAGACCCGCTACGAACACGCCAAGCTGACCGCCACCTTCTCACACCCCCAGCAGCAGGTGGCTCCTGTCAACTACGTGCGCGTCTACGAAGGTTACGAGGACCGAATTCGCATGACCGCCGATGACCAGAGCATCTACGGTCGCACCAAGCAGCCCAACAACCCCAACTTCCAGCGGCAGGACTGGTTCAGGCAGCGGTCGCACCTCAAGAGGCTCAACAGCGGCTCCAAGCAGGGTAGTCAGAATTCTTCTAGTTCAAGCAGCTCGTCGTCCAGCTCGAGTGGCGGCGGCGGCTGCGGCCAAGAGCTGCGCAGGAGCGCCTCTGAGGAGTCGTTGCTCAACTCGTACGCCAACGGAGGCACCAGCAAGCGTCCGGCGCTGCACAGCAAAGGTCGCGCACCCCCTCCACCCACAAGCACCCCACCGAGCAGAAGGAAGATCCAACAGCAGCAGCAGAGGTTCAACCCACACTACGCACTCTCCAGATCTAAGTCAGCCCACCACCTGTGCTCTCCCGAGGAGCAGCAGATGGACCCAATGAGTCAGTCTTTCCCCACCAACGTCACCCACTGCACCTCCACCCCAAAGACCGCGGCCAGAAAAACCAGTCAGCCTCAGCCCGAGGCCGTCGTAGACTGGACAAGGTCGCAGTCGACACCCCACATTGCGGCAACCATGGACGAAATGGAGCGGTCGTACGACTCGAGCACACTCTCGGACGACGACTCTACTCCTCACGTGTCCAGGTCCAACTCGCGCGGCAAAGACTGTCCCTCTGCCTGGGAAAATAGCTTCACCATCCCCTCTGGGTATGACATTGGTCTGAGCATGTCCACCTCGTCCAACGGTAGCATCCGAAGGCCATCGGACATGGTCGTCCGAGCTGCTCCAGTGATGGCCACAGACAGCGACCACGAGGGCGTGCCCCCGCTGCCTCCAAAGCAGAGACGCTCCCCTACAGATACCAAACTGCGTCACCTGCCGCCCGTACATGTGAAGGTGGAGGCTGCTGGAAAGAAGACGAGGCCCGCCTCTTACCATCCGGGGGACGAGCCTCTGTACCAGTCGCCGCGGACCAGACGCCCGTCTGTCCTCGAGGCTGCCCACGAAGAGGAGGAGCAGCCGGTACAGAAAAGCCCTGAGAGAAGAGGTAGACTGAGGAGGAGAGACGTTGGTGCGTGTCAAAGGTCTAAGTCTCTGCCTCCAGCTGAAAAGACAGAGGAGGACGAGCCATCCAGACTCAACAAGACCAACGGTGACTTCAGGCGAGACTCTTCCCCGATCCACAATGGCGAGATCAGTTGGAGCGTTTCCCAGTTGCGGTCGCTCTTTGGAGACACCAGGCCGCCTCCATACAGGCCGCCCCCGCGTGTGGCCGCCCCCATTCCCAGTCACCGAGCACCCATCACGGCCTTCCACTTGGGCAACAGCAAGTCCGAGTTCCAGGTGGCGCGGCTGCTGGACAGGAGAAGACAGCAGCAGCAGCAACAGAGCCAACAGCTGCAGAAGAAGGTGGTCAGGGCGAACTCTGCGGACAGCACGTCTGAGGAGGAGTCGTACGTCTGATTAAATTCTTGTGAGGAACTGTTAAGAGTAACTGTCGTATGTGAAGAAAGTGAGTCATCAAGTACAACTGCCATATTCTGAAAGAGAGAGAGAGAGAGAGCAAAAGTGATGTTTCATCAAAATTTATCCTCTTTAAAATAATCCCACGTGCATTTATTTGCCAAACTCGTGCTGTTCGCCTCTGGAGTCGACCGACCGAGACAGTTTTTCATTCATTGTACATGAATTGCGAAATGAATTATTTATGCATACAATTTATTAATTTAGAGAATCAACGCCGTCTGTGTGCAGAGTTGATTGATACACACACGCATTGCTGCATCAGTAATAATGCATTTATCTCAGGGCCATAATATTACTAAGCGCTGTATTGTACATTTAGTTTTTGAGCAATTAACCATTTTATCTCCCATCGTTGACGTCCAGTTACCATCAGCAATTTAGGGTTAAAAATTGTTTCAGTCTACTAACAAGAAACCTGTCATTGCAGAGTGTAGCATATAGCAGCGTAAGGCAGACAATGAAGGTTTGCGACTGGTTAGATTGTTTTTATTGTTATTGAACAAAGTGTAATCAAGCGATTGAACCACCAACTTGGATGTAAATTTGTTGCAATTGATATGAACAAGTGCGCTATACTTTTTATATCTTTATGTACAATAAAAATAATTATCATCTATAAAATAAACTTATTGCATTATTTATCTATGAATAATCATGACACATAATTTTTTGCTTTTTGATATGTTCTTATAAATTATTTACTAAACTAAAATACATTTTACACTATAATCATTATTGGGCAATTATGAAGGAAATAAGATTTTACAAATTTTCTTAATTTAAGCAAGCAAGACAAACACCGATCACTATACTTGCTAATAAGATATGAGATTTCATTTCAAGGATGACGCCTCAAGAGATAAAACATAATTTAACAAACTTAATTTTGCTCATCTGCACCCACTCAGCAAAGAAGTTTGGCTAATTTTAATAGATGCAATCTTTATTAAAAGAAAAATAGCAAAAAGAAAAATACAATCAATTTTGTTGGGCTGAGAGAAAGGCAACAGGATTTATTCCTCCAATAATTTTAGATGCAGTATATCGAGGAGGAAAAAAATTCTAAATTTAAAAAAAATCCACAAATCCAGTTTTCAAACAAAAATATTTTATCTTAAAAGCCGATATTGTAAAGCAAAAAATATTTTTTTCATAGAGAACCAAGCTGACTGTATTCTAAACTCCATATCAAAATAAATAACTTATACATAATAAATAGTTAAACATTTTACCATCATTGCTTCCTGACAAATTAAAACCAAGGTTGTTTGATCAACTTCTAGAAACAAAGGCCAATTATTTTAAGGGCTACTAACTCTTAGGCCGTGTGAAAAGAAGTTACTCATAAGATAAAATAAAGTGATTCTTGATTAGGCCCGCATGTGTTAAAAATACTTGTGCGAACTCTCATTCATCTAATTCCATTTTCTGTAATTATTTTTATGCAAACAATTAAAAAAATTTTAAATATTTTTTATTATTAACATTATATGTTCGTCGTATTTCATAAAATTGAGAAGTTTAGTCGTAGGAAAATTTCAAGCAATTTGGTTTTATTATAAACTTTTCTTTATTTAAATACTTTTATTCGAATAAATATGCTTTTGTCAAAATTTAAAATTATATGTTACAAAAGAATATGGAAAGTTTTATCCCACCAGCATTAATTCCCAAATAATTACATTAGCTTGAAGATGCTGTTTGATACTTTGTGTTTTTTTGCCTGGGCTTTGGCTTTGGAAGTTGTGCTGGCAGCAGCCTGTCTTTTCTGAAAAAATAATAATAATAATGAAAAATAATGCCTTTAAGCCAAAAACTGTTATTCAAACCTTTGCTTTTACTGGCTGTGGAGAATCCTCTTCAAATGAATTGTTAGCCAGCTCAGCAGCAGGTCCCTTGATACTCGATGGACTAATGGTAGAGAAAACAAAATTTCCTTTACTGGTATTGGACACAATTCCGTCGTTGTCATTTCCTGCAATCTGGACAACTTTGGTCAGAGACATCTTGGTTCTGGAGAAGAAAGAACCACTCTTTCCCTGCAAGAAGGATATTTAAGTTTAACGTTGTTAAAAAAATACAGCTTGCAATAAATACCTGAAGTCTCTGCAAAATGGCTTTGCCAGGCGACTTGACCAACATGGGCTGAATCCGTTTCTTTGCCACATCCTTTGGTTCTGCTTGAGGCTTTAGTTTTGCACCATTGATTTTAGCTAGCAAATTTTTTCCGTGTCTAAGAAACTGACTGTTTTCATCATTTGCATCCAAAGGCGTTTCATTAGTGCTCTAAAAAAAAAATTGAATTAGAAAGATTAGCTTAACATAAATCAGAAATTTTACTTTCTCTTTTAGCCAGTTTTCTCTTTCCAGCCGTAGTGTTCTCCAAGATGCATCATCTTCATCATCATCCTCCAATCCCTCATCGCCAGATAAATTTGGATTGCAGCCTCCCTGCCAATCTCCATCATCTGGAATGAAAACTAATAGAAAAAATCTAAACACAAAAAGGAAATAACTCACCTGTATTTTTCCAGCGAAACAGTCTTTGCCGTCCTCCCCCTTCAGCATGCAAATCTCCATCCTCAAGGAAGGCCTCTTGGAAGAGTCGGATGTCACGCTTGTCCTCATCAAGGAGTCGGCGGCTGTATTTTAAATATAAAATCACTTTTTTATGACACAAATATCAATTTAACATACGCATGAATTTTTCCTAGTTGTTCCTTCATGTCGTCCTCATCAATCTGCTCTTTGTCTCCGAGCTCTTCATCCATGTAATCAAGACCTCGTTCATCTTCATCTGCACTTTCCCAGTCGGAGCCACTAAGTTCAGCTTCCGCCTCAAAGAACCGAGCCGCCTTGCTTCTTGCTTCTCCTGTCTTGACCACAACCTCATTCTCTTCTGAGTCATAGTCTACTAGACTGTAGTCAGCCCCCTCTTCTGCCCCACTCTCCTCAGCCTCTTCTTCTTGATCCTCATTTTCTTCGTCCTCATCATCTGAAACAATTAAATGAGCTGAATTATTTCATTCTAAAGATGTTCAGTACCAGAAAAGTCAAGTTTCCTTTTCTTCTTCTTTCTCTTTTTCTTCTCCGTGCTTTTTGGAACATCTATGGTATTTTCGTCCTCATCAGAAGAAATTACTAGTTTAAGTGGTTTATCATTAACTGTAGGAGACCTTTAAAAAATAAATAAATTATTTCTATGTTACAATGCATTAATTTTTAAATTACATTGGCACTTCAAGCAACCGATCAGCCTTTGTGGGACTTGGTTCACGTCCTCCTTTTAAATCCGATTGGGTGACAAAGTTTCCTGAGCAAAGGGCTGCTAAGTCTTGCGTTTGTGTTTCCCATTTTTGTCCCAAAAGCTTATTGAAGTCAGTTTGCTCCTCGCTGGTCTTTGCTTGAGTGACAAACTGTCCAGAACAAAGCTCCTCAAGATTTTGTGTCTCATCAACAGCAGTTCCAAATAACTTGTTGATTGCCCCAGTTTTCGGCTTTGCTTGCGTAACAAACTGTCCTGAGCACAAATCCGCCAAGTCCGTGGGTTGTGATGTGTCTCCAGAGACCAAGTCTTTCAAGCCTGACACGGCCGGTTGAGCTTCAGGCAGGGTGTCAGGTACAGTTAAAAACTGGCCCGAGCACAGATCCATCAAACTGGTGCATTGAGTGTCTTTGTCAAAGTTCAATTTATCCAGGTCTTTTGGCTCCGAAATATTGGCTTCTAGCAAACTCTCGTTCATGGCTTCCGTGAAACTTGTGGACATTGCTTCACCATGCAGCTCCTCTAACATTTGAGTTATTCCATTGGAGACTGACCCTGAATACATACATAGATGGTTTAAAAACTGAAATATGAGGGTTTATTATTTACCTTTCTTTTTATCTGGTTGTGTTGCATTTAAGTCTCCCCTCCTTTTTATGTAATTTGAATTACTATAGAGGGGATTTGTAATTCCAGTTGACTGAGGGGAATTTAAAAAAGATATGTTGACAGAGGTGTTCATATTTGATAAAAATGAAGAGTCCTGCAGATGATCAAAATTAATTTAATAGATATAAGTTGAAAGTAAAATTAAGGCAAACCGTTTTGTCATTTTCATCCAATAGTTTGCTGTCATCTGCACCTTCTTCAGGTTTAACTCCTTTGCCTTAAAAGTGAAGAAACTAAATTTTGAACTGCAGATCAAAACTGCATCTCTTACCACAATTTGTTTCAGCTTCATCATCGGAATCCTCAACCCTTATGATCCTTGAAAAGGGCTTTTTGCAAGCTGGAGTTGAAGCTTTGAGATCAACTTCATCATATTCTTCATCACTTTCCTCATCACAGTCTTCCTCGTCATCACCATCGCAGTCTTCCTGCTCCTCCTCTTCTTCGTTCTCTTTCAAAGGAACATCTTCGTCTCCTTCCTCTTCGGCTTCTTCGTCTACAAAGGCAGACTTGACACGAGGTTTCCTTGCCTCCTCTGTCTCCTCGTCCATTTCAGGTTCTGTTTCAGGCTCAGATTCTGTTTCGTTTGCAAGATGAGGGTCAAAATCATCAAAATTTTTCTCTTCCTTTTCATTGTCTTCAAAATCTAAACAAAATGAATTAAAAAAATAAAAAATTTACAATTAGATTTTAGCAAAATTTTCACAATTACCATTTCCTAGAAGCTCGTCAGTTTCATCCTCATACATCTTGTACTCATTTTGCCGTTGCTTGAAATCCGCAACACGCTGCTTAGCAATCGACTCCTGCAGTTCCGACTTGAGCTGACACATCTTGGCCCCAGGCTTAGAGTTCAGGTCGACAACTTCGTCGATATTCTCCCCAGACTTAATAAGTGTCAAAAACCCATCCTGCTTTGGGTCCAAACTCTTCTTCTTTCCAGCACTTGCATGCCTAAGGAATCGCTCCTTCAGTTCGCTCACCCCAATTTGTCTTGACGTCTCGGGCGTAAGGTCAATGTAATCACTAGAGCTGCCAGACAGCTTTACAGGCTTTGAATTTTTTAGTCTTTCAATCAGCTGGGCTCGACTAAGAATGCCTTTCAATGGAGATTTCTTCACCTTGATGGGTGACTTAATTTTTGAATCCTCTTCGTCACTGCTAATTTGATTTTCATACAATTTTTGCAGGTCAAACGCTTGGTCTACTTGATTTTCTGCTGCCTGACTTTCTCTATCGTCCAGAATTTCCTCACTGTCCTCGAGATAGAGATGCATTTCATCTTCCAGTGAATCTTCAACTGTTTCACACTTTTCTTTTGGCGGTTCAGGAACAGCAAATATTTTTTCTTCAATGGCTTCACTGGGAGTCAAGCAGGCGATTCCAAATACTTCAGCAGCAATATCTTCTTTCTGCATAGGTACCTCCAATAATTTCTCCTCTTTTTCTGCTTCTGCCAAAGTTATCTCAGAGTTTTCTTGATTGATGTTTTCAGTCTCCATGGGTTGGACTGCTTTTTCCACAGTAGCAACTTCTGTGTCAACTGGAGTTTCTCGAGGGTTGCTGGAAATTTCTTCTGTTTCTTTCATTTCTTCAATTTTTTCTTGCAACTCTTCAAAATCAATTGCCTTTTTGACACTGTCAACTGCTCTAATTGGTTCTTCATTATCCACTGAACAAACTTTGTCATGAATGTTTTTCTCATTCACTTCATTATTAGGAGGTGGTGTTGGAGTGAAACGCTCTTCTTCCTCTTCTTCAGACTTGTAAAATTCCTCAGCCAATTTCTCCGTGTCTTCCAACTCTTTTCTATAATAAAGATTAACAAACATTATCATTTCTAGTAATTTTATAAAAAGTGCTTTTAATAAATTTATACATAATAATTATAATTACTTAAATGATGAAGCTTGTTTTTCTAAAAATAAATATCTTTAAAAACTTCTTTCAAATTAAGTGGGAGGACCAATACTGCGGAATTTGGCTACTTCTTTTAGTTTTAATCTTTTAATAAATCTGCATATTTCCAAAATATAAAAATATTTCTACAGAGCCGAGTGTAGAATTATTTTTCTACCAGAGCCGTGTATAGAATTATTCAATATAAATAAATTACCCAATCAGAGTGATGTCAACGTTGGATGGTTTGGCTCCCCTCAACTCAAGACTAACAGAAGGACGAGCAGACAGAAATTCCTTCAAGGACCTCTGCTTTGGCTTGTGGTATGGCAGGGAGACCATCGACTCTCGATCCATCCTTTGTTTCTCACTGATCATCTTCAGCTTCTCTTTCTCCATGGCTGCTCTGCACGCCACTGCAGACTAAAATTTGATTTTTCATAAACAATCATTTTACTTATTGACTTCAAAACAGTACCTTTCTTTTAGGTGCCGATTGCTTCTTTTTTGATTTGCGATCTCCATCACTGTCGGCAGACTTGCTTGATTTGTTGGACATGCCAGAGGCCCGGCCATTTCTATCCTCTTCCTCAGAGCTATCGTTTCCAAAGTCTGCTCTTAATTTATCAAGCTAAAATTTGAATTAATTAAATCATCAGTTTAAACAAATTTTAATTAAAAAATACTATTTTCTTTTGGTGTTGCTCATCAACTTCTTGATCATGATCAGACTTTTCCTCTTTTCCCGAGTCATCGTCAGAACTGTTAAGTGAAACTTTATTTTTCTTCTTGAGCTTGTCAAAACTTTTCTTCTCCAATTTCCTCAATCCAAAGTCCTTCTTTGAATCGGGTTTTTGAGCAGGCAGCACGTCATCGTCTTCGCTTGACGAATCGGCCCTGACGAGTCGACTGCGCCTTTGTTTTTGTCCAACTTGCTCCTCCTCTTCCTCCTTGTCACTCTCGGACGCGGCATTTCCCTCGGTTTCAGACTTTTCCGACTTGCTATCGTCGTCGTCGCTAAAAATTCGCTTCTTCTTCAGGGAATTTTTCTTTGCCTTTGGTGTGAGAATGTCGTCGTCCTCGGAACTGTCGGCCATCGGCACTGTTGTTAGCGAGATGCCGCTCTCGAGCCCAGAGGCCAATTCCGTGGCCATGGTACTTATCAAAATTTTACCTCACAAGGTCATACGCCTAGTTCGTGATCTTTCCAGGCTGGTTCCTTTCAGGTTTCCGAAATTGGAAGCGCTGAAAATCTCCGACTTCTGTCTTCTAACTCTCGGTGCCCGCCAAATTTTCCCTCACAGCTGAAGATTTCTTTCGAGCAATTCGAGCTGTCCGCCAGGAGGCAGCATTATTTGAATGATTTGAGCGCGAGAATAGCATTCTGTCTATTGGGTATGCATGCATCCATGGAAAAGATAAATTCGATTATTTTTACGTTTTTTAGTATCGCATAATTAATGGAATATAAAAATGCATATATGTCTGCACTGCCACTGAATATTCATAATTTTTCTCAATTACGTAGCCAATGTAATTACTTGTATGATAATTTGATCAATATATTAAATTATTTTTGTTGTCATGGTGACCACACGGATATCAACTTTTATTTATAAACAAATCAGATCCAAAACAATACGATTAAATCATTTTCATTCAGAATTTTTGAATTGAAAATTTCAATTGTTGAAGAAAAGAAATTCAAATTCTCTCTGAGAAAATTCTCTATAATTTCAAGCATAATTTAGCAAACTCATCTAGATCGATCTACCCGCGTTTAAACTATCTGGTAACGTGCCATCAGGAAATGGCTGAAATTGCGCATCTTACTGCCAACGCAGTGGTAGGATTTGAAGGTAAAAAAACTAATAACTTTAATTTGAAATTTTTTAAAATTTACACTTAATGCAGGTGCTGTTGCTGGAGGTTTGGTGGCTCATCCTGATGGAGTTCACATAATTTATCCGATGGGAGCCAAACTCGTTCTACAGAATTGGGATACAGGAGAGCAGGCGCTTCTCGAAGGGCACACAAGCAGCATTTCGTCGGTCGCGATTTCCTCTTGTGGAAAGTTCATTGCTTCAGGGCAGCGGCTGCGACCTCCTTACCATAAGGTTAAAAATTAAAAAAAAAAAAAAACAATATTATAAAATAAAAATAAACTGGATCCATTTAAGAAAAAAAATTGTAATTAAAAAATTTTCTAATAATAATTAATTCTATACAGGCTAGTGTAATCTTGTGGGACTTCAAAGGCCGAGTTGCCTCAAACAAATACGAAGTTCACAGAAGCACAGTTTGCGGCTTGGCGTTCTCGTGCGACTCAAAATTCCTTTACTCCATAGGCGGACTCGAAGATCACTGTCTCGTAGTTTGGAGTTTTGAGCAAGATTTAGTTATTAGCTGTGAGAGGCTTAAATTAGCTTGCCAAAGGAGATTAACAATTTGCTAATTGTTTTAGGTAAGAGGCTGCCCAAAGCCCTCCAGACTTCCGAGGGCATGGCGATAGCCACAGCCAAAGTTTGCCCTAATTTTATCATCACTAGCTCGGAGGAGGGAATTAAAGTTTGGGAGATGGATTTGAAGAAGTTCCAGCTCTCCTTTACAACAGTTAATTTGGGCAAGCTGAAACGCATGATCAACTTTATTATGGTAATTAATTTTAGCATTTTGAAAAAAAAATTTAAAAAAAAATCAACAGGTGGATGACGACGACTCTTGCGCATACTGCGGCTCGACTACAGGGGATATAGTGAAAGTTCGTCTGAATCTGGTCCCTGCGCCACCCCATCCAGTAATGATGTCTTGTCTGTCAAAGCCACCTCCAAAAATAAAAAGGGACGGCATGATGCCGAGCCTTACAAACGGCAACTATGCCCATGGTAATAAAATTTATTAGTTTTGGCATGAAAATTAAACGCTGATAATAAAAATATCAAAAATAATACCAAATTAAATTAAGTTAAAATAAGTAATTTTTTTGGTAAATTTTTAGGTGTGCGAGCTATTGTCAGGGTAGGCCCGAAGGATATGATAATTGCTGCTGGCGACGGCACTGTCGACCTAGTTGAAGAACTTCCGATAGACAAGACAAAAAAAGTTGAGGCTGGACAGAAATGTCCTACTTCCCACGCATTGAGGAAACTCAAATCTTGCCTGCTCAAATCTCGAGTTACATCTTTGACAAAGTTTCGAAAAAACACACTGCTCCTGGGCACAAAGGGTGGCGACATTTACACCTTGTCCCTAGCCAATTTCAAAGACCTTGTTCTCAACTCCACCAGCCATCCAAGCTGCATCACAAGCATTGCTGTTCCAAAGTAAATCAGCAATTAAGTTGTCAATTTTTAATTTAAAATAATAATAATAATTATAGAGTGACCAATGAGGTTTTTGTGACTTGCGGCTATGGAGACATAAGACTGTGGACAATAAAAAAGAAGGGCAACAAAATCCAAGAGGCGAGTCGCATTCTCCAACCTGGCTTAACTTGCCATTGCGTGGTTGTGAGTCAAGATGGCTCCTGTTTGATTTCAGGTTAAATTAGCAAGTTTGATTAGTTGGAAAGATAAAAAGTGAAAAATATTTTAGCATGGGATGATGGGTGCATCAGGTTTCATGCTCCTCAAAGTGGAAAGTTGATCCACGAAATTCAAGGAGCCCACCACTCAAAAGTGTCAGCACTGGCAATTACGATAAACAGCCTCAGGATCATTAGTGGAGGTCAAAGTGGACAGGCACGCTTAATTATTTAGTCAAGGTAAAAAATTTTTGTAAAGCAAAATTTGAACTTAAAACAGGTGAGGGTTTGGGACAAGACCAAATCATGGTGTCTGACCAAAGTGTTCGGAGAACAAAGAGGAGTGATCAAAGAGGTGGCAATCAAGGAGAACAACAATGAAGCAGCGTCAGTGTGCGAGGATGGAAGTTGCTATGTGTGGAAAATACCGTGAGTATAGAGTATCACTATAAAATTAAACATCATGTCTTAAAATGCTGCTTAAAAATTTAAATGTAAACTCGGGGAAACTTTTGCCATTTTTTCAATATTGGAATAAACTAAGTAAGTAATATAATAATTATTAATGTCGTTAAACATAAATAATATTCTTGATGCATTAGGATATTGAAATTTCTTAATCCAAGTTGAATATGATTACAAAATAATTAACGAGTAGATTATAAATTTCAGGCCAGGAGAAGACCCTAGTTGCAAAATCACCCTGCAAACCAGCTCGAAACTGACTGGTGTCTCCTTCTTCCCAGGAGAGGGTACCCTTTTGCTGACAACAGGGATGGACCGAAAGGTGACCTGTTGGGACACGGCCACTGGTACGGCCGTCCGAGATTTGGAAACCCACTGCGCCATAACGAGGCTCTTTGTGCCTCGCAAAGGTGACCTCTTTGTCACCGGATTCGAGGACGGGACCATTAAGGTCTGGAGTCTGCTCAAGGGTGAAGACATCTATTGCGGAATAGGACACGGAGCCGAAGTGACTGGCATTGCAATGAGCAACGACAACAGCTACATTCTGTCAGTCAGCTCTGATGGCTCTATTTTCTACTGGCAGTGTCCCCAGCAGGTTGAAACAACTAGGAAGAGCAAACAGAGTCCGCAGGACACTGCGCAGCGTAGCTTCGAGCCGCATCTAGCCGATTTGAGGGATGAGTTTTTGATAAACTGAGAAAAAAAACTTGGTATAAGAATATTAAAATCTGTGTTTTTAATCTAATTAACATTACCACAAACCCTCAGAATAAACTAAATGCTGGTAAACAATATGACTTTTTCTTAGTTGTGTAAATAAAATGAAAATTTTCAGACCTTCCTCCAAATCAAAGTCTTGTTATTGGCAGGCATGTCAACGATTTTCTCAAGGGCCAGACCAACGTTTCCAGCAATTTTCTGCAAATCGTCAATGTCTCGGAGCCCCCATTCACTGTCCCGAGACCTGAGCGACTCGTCGAATCGCTGGTTGCTCTCGGGAGTAATGGTTCCTCCATAAGCATAAGGTCCATAGGTGACCAGAATTCCTCCTTTAATAAGAAAAGCTGCAGCTCCGGTGAACAGTCCGGGGGTGCAGGCCTTTGGTGAGATGTGAATCATGTTGGCACAGTAGACCAAATCAAAGGCTCTTCCCTGCAGAGGCCACTGGTCAGGACTCTGGGAGGCGTCGATGAAAACTGGTTCGGAGATATTGGGCAGTTCTGATGCATAGGCTTGAATCGAGGGAAAATCGTTGGTGTCAAACTCGGCCGGCTGCCACTGCGTACCTGGCAGGTTATGGGCAAAGTGAGCCACATGTTGTCCAGTACCAGAGGCCACCTCTAAGCACTGAATAGGCGTCTTTTTAGCTACCATCTGAGGGACGTACTGCTGCAGCACTTCTAGAATGGCCTGCTTGTTTCTTTCGGCTGCTGGAGCACATAATTTTTGCGGCACACTAAATTACAAATTTTAATTAAAAAAATGTAAACAATTATGAGATCATTTGCTTTATTTACCTATCTCGTCTCTCATAGTTGTAAATTCCTTTCATTTTGCTAAAGATGTTCTCCAAATGAAATCGAATTCTCTTCAGTTTAATTTTTGGTTCAACGTGAGACGTGAGACCTCTACAAAGCTACACAGGGCTAAAAATCCTGTGTTGATGTTGATAACAAGACGAATGTTATCACAGCCTCTTCTGCCGGCTTCTATCTCTGAAAGTTAAAAGCATGTAAATATAAACTTCTGATAAAGTAATAAAGTAAAATTATTATAAACATAAAAACATAATAAAATTTGTTGTAAAATTGAATTTTACATTTTCTGAAACCACATACAGCTGAACAGAGTTGAGAGAAAAGTTTTGTGTTTTGTTTTGAAGTTTTGAACACTGATTCCGCTTTCTGCCGCAAGGTGGTTTCATTCTTCGCCTGCGACTTCTATGTATTAGTGCCGTGCAATGCTCGGAGAGCATGAGGGTCTACAATCTACATACATAATTATATTATAAATTGTACCTCTCTCTATGTTTATAACGTTTATAAGATGCTTTTTCCACCTTAATTTTTATGATGATATTCTAAAAAGTAAAAAATAGTATAGCTTTAAGCTTTAATACTCAAATAAAGCGGTTTAAATTTTTGCAATATAACATACAATTTAAAATAATTTTAATTAATTTATTCACTAGAAAAAAATAATTATTAAAAATATTTTTATCGATTTTTATGTTATGTGCATTATGAATTCTGATTAGTTTTAAATACAACCGACATCACCTACATTTCTTTATACTCGGCGATCGATTTTTTCGCATCAGGTTCGCATTTTATGCAACGGGTGCAGACAAAGAAAAATAATAAAAATCCAAATTGAGAGGCAGTAAGCAATCCATCACTTTTCCTTTATCCTCTTGGCAGATTTCGCGAAATGCTGACAGAAAAGCAATTCCTCGAGCGCATCCGGCGAAACAACACAGACCACAGACAGTGAAAGACGAGGAAAATAAAACGCATGATTTCAAATTCAACGATCGCGTATTGCATGATAGCATAATATCATATTGTATATGTATTTTTTTTTTACTTTTTGGTCCCATTTCACTCCGGATGATCCTCCACAAAATTGCACTTTTTTCAATTTTTTTCTCACCTGTTGAAGAGAATGAGATGGTACAAAGGGGTTTACTACATTTTTATCAATTTTACCCCGTGCATTACGATAATGTTATACAATATTTTTATGAAAATTGAATAACAACATAGTTTTTTCTACCAAAATAAACGAAAAGGTATATATTTATACTTTATGCAACTAAAGGTACACCTGGTTTGAAATTTTGATAAGAAAATAATTTACAGGATGTTAAGTTATTCACAAAGTGGATATTTTTTTGTTCATTTATTTTTCTACAAGGATTTTTCTAATTTATTCAATTAACTAAATACCTATAAACTCGTCAATGCCGCATCATCATGCATTCAATATTTGAATGACGACGATGACACAAACTATCTTCTCATGTATAAATGATTTGAATATTAATTAGTTATTATTGCAATAGCGTGCATATTAATCAATTTCAGTGGGAGGATATCAGATCGTATAGAGTAGTGTGTATTTATGGTACACACACGCCATTGTCAATTACCAGAATATGATCATCCATCATTCAGTTTCGTTTGCACAACGGACCCGCTTTTGGTATAACGCCATTTTGTAAAATTTTGCAGTGAAAATATAAAATATATATACATGAATATTTGTTTATGATCCATTATCCAGTAAATTATATAAGTCCATGCTATTGGTCATTAGGAAATTTAAAATTGTGTTGTTTTTTATTGTAGATTAAAAATTCGTAGGTCAAAAAAAAATTACGCTTTATTTATTTATTTAATTTGTTTTTTTATAATCAAAATTTAATTATTATATTTGTTATTATAGAAAATATGTAACACAAGAAACTACAATTAAAAAATGTTAAATTTATTGTTTATGCGCATGTTTATAGGTGTTAAAAAACAAACTTGAAATTTTTTTAGTTGTTAATAGCCCAAAATTAAATGAGAATAGGTAAACAGAAAAATGAAAAACAAAGCATTTTTTATTTAAATTTTGGACTAACCTGGGACTAACCAACTGAGCAACTTATCCATAAGATTCTACAAATCTTTTCCTTGTAAACAACAGGAGCAACCGTGTTTTTTGGAGGTATCACCTCTGCTAGAACAGAAAGAAGCATTTTCCTTGATCTCTTTTGGATAAGCAGAAGAAAGGAAAGTGCATGTTTCTTTCCATCTGTTTCATCCCGTGGAAACAGGAGAAAAAAGAATATGAGAATTCCTTCTGATCCTTTCACGATGCGAGAATATTATTGGAGACTTTGTAGAAGTCAAAGTTTCTGCTCTGAAAATCCGCACCCGCTGCCGACTTGATGCGAGCGCTAAGCTTTAACCTCGCCATCACAAGTCGCGGAAAAAAGCGAAATCTTGAAATTTAAAAACGACGTCAATGTCAAAATAAAGACCACGAATCAGAATTGTCACCCAGTGTTCTGTCTTTCTAACCATATCTTGATATTTAGTAAAAAAAAATATTAATATTAAATGAATGGTTAAATAAAGTTGTCTAAACATAAAAAAGTTTAAATGGGTAATTCATTCAAATAATTTTACTTTTTGTTATATCATAGCAAAAATTTGATTTTTCGGTAAATAATCTATTAAAAAATAAATTCTAGTCTCCAGATTATCATTTTTTTTTCTTTTTTGTAGAACTTTCACTGATGGAATAAAGCAATTAAATCTTAATGTCCATTTTAATTAATTATTCAAATTGCGCTAAAGCAAGGGTCTCCTGTCGCAATATAAAAACTTTCGCCAGCAAATGATAGAAAACTCCCTGAGGAATGAGTTTTTTTTGGGGGATATCAGGGAAGAGAAAGGCTTTTAGTGTGCACCCTCGGCGCACCAAGGCCACCAAGCGCAGTGTAACGGGGGACGCATGCTCTGCTGCAAGGGTAGCGAGCGGGCGGGCGGGCGAGTGCGCGGCTCGTCGTAGTAAAAAGTGGCCCGCGAAGCCAAAGCTGCCCGAGCGGCAGTCAACAGACCACTCGCCGCCGAGCAGCAGGTTGGTCTCTGGCCGGCGCCGACAACAACCAAATCAGCAGCTACTTTCACAGCCGGTCATGCCCCGGGTTTTATCACTTGACCTGCACGCGGGGTCAACTGAAGTGCTGGCAGATTGATCAGTTTTGTTGCGGGCGATTTGAGAGATTTGTTTGTCATGGACCAGGCCAAGTGACATGGAAAACGGCTCGTTCTTTGTGACCAACTTTTCAACTGGAGGTGCGTGGGACAATGGCAGCAGTGCAGGTGCTGACAATGGCACGCGCGATGGACACTTTCTGTCGCCCCATGAGGTGCAGATCATCACCATGGTGTCTACGGCCGTCGTTCTTGGCCTTGTCATCCTTGCCACTATTATTGGTGAGTCTGAAATCTTATTTTTTGAAAATGTGAATTTTTTTGTTATGTTTTGGATTAAGGTCATGTGTGCTAATTTTTTTTTAGTTTTTTTTATTGTTCAGTTTATTTTATAAAATTAATTAGAGCTAAATTTTGTATATTTTTAAGTGTTTTTAAGGTTACAAATTCTTCATTTTGCGTGCATTCAAAAATATTACAGCATTTTTTGTGGTTTTACCAAAAAATTAAGGTAAAACAAATCAATTTATTTTACAATTTTGCCATTTATGATTCTTTTATAAGAATATAAGAAATTAATAGATTTTTCTATCCGGTTGATATGGGGTTATAAATGGATGTCTTTTGTCATACAATAATTTCAGAATACCACTAAGTGTTTTGTTAAAGATAAATTAATTGTTTCACTTTTAAGTATTGTGATTTACTTTGATTAATTATCATTTGATGCTGTCTTGAATGATCTGAATTAAAGTTAATAAGATTAAGTCGATTTATGCACTTTGAGGAAAATTGTGTTTATCAGAATTGTTTTGGATATTCATCTTGAATTCATAAGAGAATTCATTTATTGTTAAAAGTGGGGGTTGGGGGCCAAAATTACATCCTAAAATAGTGTGTTATTCTTTTATTTCATTTCTTGAAATTGCGAATTTACGGACCCGAGAAGCAGCAAATAAGCACAGCAAAAGCAATTTTTTCTTATTTCTTTCCCAGCAAGAAAATACAATATTGCATTCTAGAAAAAAGAGTATAACACAATTTTGCTAAGTAGATTGGAATAGATGTCCACATTAGTGAGCCGTGCATTATTATTGTGTATTGAAAGATATTAAGCGTGCTCTCGACCGCGGAATAAAAACTGTAACGCAGCAGATCATGAGGAGCTGTTTTGATTAATGGCATTTACTTCATGCGCTGTCAAAATACAAAATGTGGTGAAAGATATATGACTACACGTTGATATAGAAGCTTCGGGGGCTGCAAAGGCTTTTTATTATAAATGTACCTAGCAAATAATGACATTTTACATTTGCATTAATTTGAGTATGATAATAATCATTCATTAATTAGCATTTTCATAAGCAACTAAAAATTTTAATTAAAAAAATTGGAGTAGATTATTTTAAGTACATAGCAAATTAAACTTTTTATGCATCTTATAAATGTGCATACTAATTATCAGCTAATCATGTATGAGTCATTGCCAGTATCTTTATTTGTTATATTTTGTCGTAGCTCTAGAAAGCAGAATTTCATTTTTTAATGTGTATTTTTCGTAAATAATGGGTTTAGGTTTTTCGGTTGTAGATCCATTAATTGTGTATAACAAACTGTAATAAGCTACCATGAATTTCAAATTAAGCTAGTTTCTATGTTGATGAACAAGAAGCCAAGGAGGGCTCAAATTGCCTGTAATGAGCAGCACGGTAATGAGCGCAACATGCGACCTTTGCTGAAATTTATACAATTAATATTTTCCCAGCCTTTCTAGGGCTGCTCTCCACTCTGGGGCAATGCACGCGATTTACGCTGGGCACAATTAATTACAGGCAGGACTATGCACGCCAGGCAAACAAAAGCCGAGCTGGGTTATTATTGCATAATATAGAAAGACGCGTCGGATTACGCCGTGCCATACACAAATGCATCTCTATTGGACCGTTCGCTGCAGTAGTGCTCCATTATTGCAGCACACAACACAGAGCTCGGTGTTGTTGGCATTGTGCGGTTGCATCGTCAGTCTTCATTTCAGGCCGACGTGAATGGCCATCAAGCCTCAAATTCGCGATTCTTATCCGGAGCACTCCTAGTTCCATACACCGCGGCTCTATTGTTGGTCGGAGGTTCCTGTGCGCCGCGTTTAGCCACTAAGAAAGGACGACGCTGATAGATAGATACCAAGTTGGCATCTGCATGCACACTTGCATGCACATCATGTAACAGTGCAAGGCCACTGTGGATACACATGGCCTGCAGCGCACCAGTTTTATCAACTTGCAAGGATGTGAAGCTCCACTTTTGTTTACTTTCTTCTTGCGGTTGCCTTTTTCTAGGCGGGCAGAAAAAGCGTATCCGAGTTGGCTCAAATATTGATACATCTACTTAGTTTTCTGTATGGTCCAGAAAAAGAATCATCCGAGCGTGTTTTGCGTACCATTATATCTATATCCCTTGGCAATATCTCACTGGAGTCCGCAGTATTTGCATAAAAAAGACAAAATCACTTTAAAATGATAGGAAAATGTTACAAATAATTTTAAATATAAATTATTTACTTTCCATTGTATGGAGGCAAGCGTGATTTATTTATATATTTAAAGCAATGAGGGTTTTTACTTAGAAAATCAAATGATAAAATGGAGATCAAATTTAGAAATTAGCGACTTAATATTGATTCAAATCTACTGAAGTTCTGAAAATATAATTGTAGGTTTTTCCTTTGTAAGTTGAAATTTACAAAGTTGGCCCATTTAAGCTTGAAATTGAGAAATCTCAAATTTATTGAACATTAAAATTAATTTCGTATAATATGATTTTGAGATATTCATTTATCTTATTGCCCTTATTGGAATTTAATTAAAACAAAATTATTCCACTCAATGGGATGAGACATCCCGATAATCAAAATGAAAAGCTCTATTCATCTCATTGATTACCGTCTAATCGATTAAATTACATTTTAATGAAATTCCTCTCAGTTCTCACCAGCAGGGAAACATAAAACACGGCAAACAATGACCAAATTATTTAAAAGAAGCAGCCACTGCGTTCATTATTCAGCAAGAGTCCTTTCACGCACCCCCTTTCACTTTAATATTTGAAGGCTGACGGCAGGTGTGCGTCTGTTTCTCCGCATGTAATCGCCGCGGTATAGCACTTTCGCGGCTATGTGTTAAATTTAGCTGTACTATACACATAACACAAATAATCGACATCGAGCCGACCGCAGCCTGAATAATTCATTGCAATTACGCGACGCACACCCGTAGCAAACAGATTAATTGTAATTAGCACGCAGTCTATTGCCTGCGATGAAAAATAATATGCAAAACGCGCGTGTCGATTTCCTATTGAATTCCGACGTGTGTGGCTGTTGTGCGTTATATAATTTGGCTCAATGGAGCATTAATAACGCGTTTATTGCTTTGCCGGAGTAACGGTTTAGTGGGGAGGAAGGCAATTCGTGCAAACATTTCGGCGGTTTTCACGCTCAAAGTAAAGCCCTGCAGACGAAAACAAATTCTTGGGAACGCGAGCTGCTTTATCTAGCGAAAAGTTGGTGGGAAACAGCGATTTAGTTTGAATTGAAAAAAACACCTTGCTCGTGCGTATAGGGAAGTTGTTGGGTTAAATACATAAAAGTTCAGTGTGACAATCGGAAGGAACGTGCAAGTCGCAATTTCCAAAGTTAGACCGTGGATTTCTAAGTTGCGAAAAAGAAGCTTGACGGTCGTCCTCCTCGGCCCAGGCCAATAAGCTGTCCTACGGGGGATAAACTTCTTTATTTTTACAGATAGCGAACGAACGATGAGTTTGTGTGTGAGTCCGCACTGGTCTAGTCGGACGCAAAAGCCTGGAATTATTACAGCGCCGACGTGTTTGTTTTGCCACTGATGGGATGGAATGAAACACTAAGTTTTTTTTTGCTTCTATAGATGTAGCATAATATGCGTAAGAAAGATGTTTTATAATATTTTACAAAACAAATTACAATCAATTAAAAAATTTAAAAGTAAATGTTAAATTTCAAATTTTATTATATTAAATTTTTTTTAACAAATTTAATTTATTTCAAATTTTTTATAAGTTTATTACATGATTTTTTTTTTAAAAGAAATAAATAATTAAAATAGTTTTTACTTTATTCATGATCTATAATACTTGTTCGCTAAAATATACTCGACATATGGTAATTGATGGTAATATGAAATTATGTTAATCCGCAGCGACCAAAGACGTTAAGTTAAACTTTCTAATTTTAGCGATTGGTTTGTTTTCAAATTAACGAACCAAAAATAAAATTTTGATAAAATGTTTTCTCTATTTGGAGCAATTGAGTTGAGTGGCTTTTTCGAAAAATTTCATAACACGCTCTCCAAATGTTCATCGTTATCTCATAACAAAATTAATTGCTTCTTCCACTTGCCTGGGCCGTTTGGCTGATTTGCAATCAAAATGCCATCAATCATACGCAGCTCAGCCGTCGCGATAAGGGAACGTGTTCTGCTTTTGTACATGTCGGGAGTATCAGAGTCATTGGAGAGGCAGAAACAGAGCGAAGTGGGCCTGGCTAAAATAAAAAGCTTGTCATTTGAAGCGCGGCTGTGGAGCGAGTCGGCGGCGGCGGCGGGCGAATTTCCATCACTCTGCTGGTGTGTAAGTGCGTCTTCCCGTTCACTACCACTGTACGCCTCGGAGCTGAATAAACACGCTGGAAATGTCTTTCACGAGCATTTCACTCGGAACACAAACAGCACTGCTGGCCGAATGCACGCCGACCACTCGCTCTTCCTATAAATAGAATTTGGCTCCCATTCATATTTAATAAAGTGGCGAGGAAATCTTGATGATGCTTGTTGGGTGTCTGCATGGCGAAGATAAAAAGTTCCGCCAATATAGCCCACGCCGTTTACACTCGCGCTTCTTTTTCACTCGACGCACCAAATTTGTCTGGTGGCGAGAAGAAAACGGCCTTAATTTTTCCTGCTTGCGCCAGATAAGCGCCTGAACAAAGAACGGCTCCTGCAGCTTTTTGAATGAAAACAAATGCGGGGTTGTTTGAGGTGGTCCAAAAAATGTTGCTCCAGCGGCGTGCATAATGTGTTAGCGCCTTTGAAAGAGGAGCAGATGATATTTCGTGCTTTAGGTTTGCTTTGTGGCTGAAAAAATGTTTGTTCGCGCTCTTGTGTTACTCCCCGCTAACAATATGAGCGCCACGTCGTGCTGTTTTAAAACTCTTTCCTGCCACATAAAAAAATCACAATGGACTGGCATGTGTG